GAAAAAAAAAGAATTAAAAGAAAAGAAAAATTGAAAGAGGAAGATAAAGTCTAACAAGATACACGACCGAACCTCTCAACGAGAGCACCAATGATGAAGATCGTGTATCCACCTCAACTCGAATTTCTTGAAACCCGCACCGACGCCTTGGTCCCGAAGCGATAGATTGCTAATACGCACGCCGACGCCTTCGTACTTCGCGATACTTGTGAAGAAACCCGGATGTTGGTCCTATTTCTAACACGATTTTGTATGTAGACTCACACACAAGAGTTGGTGAACAAACGTTCACTTTTCTATTAATTTCTTCGATATGAAATAACAAGAGTACATGGGCATTTATAAGAAAAACTAGATCTAGTCCTATGAGCACTATAATTCTCACTAGGAAATAATATCTAGTCCTAAGGTAACTAAATGTCTTGCACATCAAGACTTAACAAATAAATAAAACTCCTAACATCTAAACCTATAACTCACGCTAACTAAATATATAATTACCTAATCTAATAAACTAACCTAAACAACTAACGGCTAACTATATAATATTTATAAACTAATAAACTACTACTAACAATTACTAACCAATCCTAACACCTAACAGGCTTCGGCCATTACTAATTAATTATTAAACTAACAATTAATTAATTAATCTAACTAATCTAAATAATAACTATCTTCTAGAATCTTCGCCTCTCGGATCGCAGGGCTCGCCTCGTGTATTCGCGCATCACGTCCGTGTACGCCCCCGCGTGCTTGGTCGCGCGCTATTTCTCGCCTCAAGAGGCTTCTTGAACCCTCCCGTGCGCGTGTCTCATATCGGGTCTCGCCCTGTCCTCGTCGTCGACCTTCAGAGTTTCCAGGTCTCGGCCATGCACATTTTGACCTTGTGTGATAAGCCCTAGTCCTTGCCTTCACTCGGGACTTTCGTGCTCGTGCGCCTCGCATACGGGCTCGTACCCTTCTCTTAGGCCATGCGTGCGTGTTTTTGGCCCTTTTCTCGGCCTTCTCGAACCGTCCCGGCCATCGGCTCTCGACATACTCGAGCCTCTAAAGCCATTTCCGCATCACTGTGTCGCACGCGCACGACTACGTGCGCCCCAAGTCTGCGCCGCCTTGCCCTCGCGCGTGCGTGCCCGCCTTGCCTAGTCCTCCGCTGCTTAGGACGTCCGCGCCCGTACCGCACTCGCGCGCCCTTGCGCGCTGATGAAGATCATGTGTTTCAATTGCCGATAAGCCACTATCCCGCGCCTTGAATAGCCGATAGTGATTCTTTAGCCACAATAGCACCTATAGAAACGAATAAAATTGCAGTAGTATTTTGGTGAAAAGACTAAAGCAAAGTTGAAAGAACAAAGTTCTAGATTTCTATTGGTTTCTTGAATGATGATTAATAACACGGGGGGATGGTCCTTTATATAGGCACCAAATAGATCTAATCCTAATATAACTATAACTCTAAGAAAGCAATAAAATATTAAGTATCCTAATTAAACTAGATATCATAATATAATAAGGGAACTAAATAACTTGTCTTGCACACCAAGGGATCCTCTTTCTCCCTCTCTTGCGCACGCCGTCTTGCCCAACCGCCTCACACGCCCTAGTCCTTGAGGACTAGGGCACCGCTCCTTTCGCGCGCGTGTCGCCCATCCGGCGTGTCGCGCACGCTGTCGCCACCTGTCACCTCAACGCGCGCGTGCACCCCGCCCGGCTGTCCGTATTGCTCGAGGATTGGTGTCGCGCGCCTCATGCCGCATACCTCAAGGACTAGGGCTTCGTCTGCTGCGCGTGAGTCTCGTTCGCCCGACCTTTCCTCGCGTGCGCCCGTCTCGCCCGCGCCACATCCGTTCTGCCCACGCATGCCGTCCGCGTATACTACTAGCGCACCCTCTCGCGGCCTTTCTTTGCTTGCCCCACGCGCACTACACTCCAGTGCGCGCACCTCTGCCATCTCTGGGGCCAACCTTTTGCATGCGTGATATGCCTGACTCGCAACGTTCTTGAGCTGCCTAGCCACTTCCGCATCATTCTCGTCCCCTTCAAGTAAATCCTTATCCTCAAGGATAAAGTTCGGGAACTGATCGCGCATCTCATCAAGATCTTCCCATGTGGCTTCTTTGGGTGGCAACTCTTCCCAGTCAACTAGTACTTCCCAACGATAGCGTCCTGCCTTCCTTACCTTGCGATATTCGACCGCTCGTTTTGGGCGTACTATGACCCTTCCATCGGTTGCTGTTGTCGGTAACTCCTCACAATACCTCTGCGCTTCTCCTAAACTCCTCTTGAGTTGTGAGACATGGATACCCGGGTGGATCTGAGAATTTTGTGGTAATTCTAGGCGATAAGCTACCTGACCAATGCGCTTTAGAATCTGATAAGGTCCGTAATAGCGAACTCCAAGCTTAGTCGCTGCCCTTTGTGCTGTTGTGCGCTGTCTGAATGGTCGTAGCTTCAGATAGACATACTCTCCTGGTACAAAGTTTTCCTCACGCCTCTTTCCATCCGCGAAGGGTTTGGTTCGATTAATCGAGCCTTTGAGATTTTTCTTCAACTCCCTCAACATCAGATCTCGTTCCTCGAGTTCTCGCCCAACTTCATCATTGACCGTACTTCCTTCTGAATAGCTGATCAATGTCGTGGATTTTCACCCGTACACCAGCTCGAATGGTGTCATTTTGGTAGACTCGTGATATGTGGTGTTGTACCAATACTCAGCCCAAGGCAACAAGTTTTCCCACCTCTTCGAAAATTGATGGACGTAGCACCTTAAATACTGATCTAGAGTTCGGTTGGTTACCTCGGTTTGTCCGTTTGTCTGTGGGTGGTAGGCTGAGCTCATAGATAGTTTGGTCCCTTGCAATGTGAAAAATTCAGACCCAAAGCTGCTCATAAAGATCCGGTCTCGATCAGAAACAATGGATCGTGGTGCTCTATGCAGTTTCATCACATATTCCACGAATAGCCTGGCAATTGACTTTGCAGTGTAAGGATGAGTGATAGGTATGAAGTGAGCATACTTTGTGAGTCGATCTACTACGACCATAACACCATCAAACCCATTTGAACTCGGTAACCCTTCTATGAAATCAGTAGTAATGTCTTCTCAGATTGCCTCGGGTACCGGTAGAGGTTGTAACAGCCCGCTCGGCCGTCGTGAGTCAGACTTAGTGCGCTGACCATCATCGCACCGTGCTATGTAATCTCGGACGGTATTCTGCTGCCCTGGCCAGAAGAAAGTATTGGCTATTCTCATCCACGTGCGGTAGATACCCTAGTGGCCTCCAATTTTAGAATTGTGAAAGTGTTGCATGATCCGCTCGCGTAACTGCCCACTTTCGGGAACGAATACTCGGCCTCTGTGTAGAAGCAGACCATTATGCAACTCATAGTCGATAGCAGTTGTCTGACCTGCTTCTATCAATTGGTGCAACTCCTGGCAATAGGTGTCCTCCTCTTGCGCCTTCCTGACTTCCTCCCAAATAGTCCAAGTCGGCCCAGTGATAGCATTAAGCTCGGCTACATCCGTCCGTCGGGATAACGCGTCAGCCACTGCATTCTATCGTCCGGTCGATAGACTATCTCAAAGTCAAACCCCATAAGTTTAGATACGAACTTCTGCTGCTCAGGGGTAACAATTCTTTGCTCGAGTACATGCTTAAGCGGTTGCTGGTCGGTCACAATTCGAAAGCGTCGGCCCAATAGATAAGGCCTCCAGCACCTTACGGCTTCAACAACTACTAGCATCTCCTTCACGTACACAGATAGACCCAATCGTGTAGTGCCTAGTGCCTTGCTGAGATAAGCTAAGGGTTGCCCTTCTTGCACTAACACAGCTCCGATCCCAATGTCACTCGCATCTTTGTGTACCTCAAACAAGACATCAAACCTTGGCATGGCGAGCACTGGCGTTGTAGTCATGGCTACTTTCAGTTTCCCAAACGCCTCCTTGCTAACTTCGGTCCACGTGAACCCGTCTTTCTTAGTCATCTCCGTCAGTGGCTTGGCGATGGTTCCATAATCCTTCACGAACAGCCTCAATCTTTCGTGGATCAACCTTCACGCCCTCGTGGGATATGAAATGCCCAAGATACTCAACCATCTTCTGCCCGAATGAACACTTGGATGGCTTGATGTGAAATGAGTTTGCCTCCAAGATTTCGAGCACTACTCTCAGATGCTCAAGATGTTCTCCCCACGACTTTGAATAAATCAGAATATCATCAAAGAATACCAGAATGAACTTACGTAGATACTCCTTGAAGATGGAATTCATAGCAAACTGAAAAGTGGATGGGGCGTTGCACAATCCGAATGGCATAACCAGATACTCATAGTGCCCCTGGTGCGTACGAAATGCTGTCTTCGGAATGTCGGCCTTGTGGAGTCGAATCTGATGATAACCAGCTCTCAGGTCGAGCTTTGAGAAGTAACTTGATCCAGCTAACTCATCGAGCATGTCATCGACGCTCGAAATGGGAAATTGATCCTTGATAGTCGCGGCATTAAGAGCTCGATAGTCAGTACAGAACCTCCACGTGCCATCTTTCTTTTTAGCTAACAATACTGGAGAAGAAAACGGACTCTTGCTATGCTGGATTAGTCCTGACTCAAGCATCTAGGCCACTTGCCGTTCGATCTCAGTTTTCTGGAAGTGAGCATACCTATAAGGATGGACATGTATGGCATGTTATTCATTGATCAGTGGTATGCGATGATAGAACTCTTGGTGTGGCGGTAGTCCCTTAGGCTCGCCCAGTACTGTTAGAGGTATGCTGTAAAAGCTCCTATTTACAGATTCTATCAATTCCATTT